TCTCTCTCTCTCTCTCTTCATCTGTCCCTCTCTGTCTCTCTCTCTCTCCCTCTCTCTCTCTCTCTCTCGCTCTCTCTTTCTTCCGCTGTTTCACGGAGTCCCTCAGGGATCCCGTTCGGCCCTATCCTGTTCAGCATCTTCACGAACGACCTCCCATCTTACATCCCTTACATACGTATAGTGTCCTATGTCGACGGCAGCTGACTGCTAGACTCCGCTCATCCAGAACAACTATCCGTTTGGGAACCCCGATAGGAGGCTACCATCCAAGTGATTCAGTCTTACTTCACATCTAACTCTCTCAAAATGCATTGCCGTTAAGCAACTCTTCTCATTGTTTCCACTTGAATAAGAACAATTCGTGAAGCAAACCTTATCTTTTCACCGTGGCATTGCGGGACACAAGCTGAGCCCTTCGTCGCCCGTGAATATGTTGGGGGCGATTATTGAAAGTATCCTTCCCTGGGAGATGCGCATATTTTATGTTGTCGGAAAGTGCAACTCAGTCTAATGTTTTGCTTGTATAAAATTTCTCACCACTTTTATCTGCGGTTAGTAATCTTCCCGTCCAGTCCCATGCTTTCCCTCATCTTCCGTACTGCCTCTCAGTCTGGGGTGGGGCTGCAGCGTGCCACCTAAACAGAGCGCATGAAGTGATAAACTTTGGGGCCAGGATGATCAATAACGCCCGTCGCCGAGAGTCAATGGCGCGGCTGTCCCTAGCGCCGGGCTGGCGCGGTGTTGGTGACCGTGTCACCCGTCGTGACGGTCCCGTTGCGTTCAGGGCCCTGAATGACTCGTGGGCTCCGGCTCGGATCAGGTCCTCGTACCGCTGCATGTCAGCGTGCCACCCGGGCGGCAGCGGCGGACCCCCTCTGTCTGATCTGTTGCGCTTTGCCTGCTGGTGGCACACAAGGCTTTTTCGTATGGCGCGGCTTCGCCCTGGAGTCGCCTGTCAGCGACCAACACCGCCTCTCACACTGGCTTGTTCGCCTTTGCGTAGCATGTTTCGGCGATTTATGGTTTGATTAATGGTTTTATTTTTGACGAAGTCGTGTGAACGACGGAATGGTTAATATTGTTCAAAGGTGGTTTCGTTGCTGTCATGTTTTAATATTACACGCATGCTACTTTTTTAAGTCTACCGAATAGAAAAACCACTTGTTGGAATGATTCGCGGATAAAATGAACACGAAGACATGAACATGGCTGCGTTGCAAATGTTGCAAATATGAACACAAGAAAGGACTGAGTCCTATATTTGTGAAACTCTGATGCCGCACGTCCATGGGTTGCGCGGAATGAGAGAACGGGACGCACCCCAGATCCCAGGGGATGCACGGGTACCCAGTGCCACCGCGTGGCTATGGGCTTGACCACAAATACGCGTACTTCATGTTCCGAGGCGGCTGCCGGGGTAATGTTCTAGGAAACGCCGAATTTATGCGCTCGGTAGGACATTGAAATCGGAACCTTTCAGCCACTCGAAAATATTCTGGGTTTCGGCAGAGAGGCTAAAAATCGTTACACCCGTCTGATGTATTCGCTCTCGGTGTGACTGCCTGCTCTGGTACAAAGGTGGTGTCTGCGCGGTCGTTGCCGTTCGGGGCATTCGACCGACTGAGTCGGGTGATGTTCGGTCCCAAGACGTAGGCGGATCGGCTGGCGAGGATCCTGAGCGCCGTCTGTCACGCAGCGGGGCAGTCCTCTGGATCCCGAGCGCCGTCCGTCACCAGCGGGGCAGTCCTCTGGATCCCGAGCGTCGTCTGTCACGCAGCGGGCGGTCCTCTGGATCCCGAGCGTCCGTCTGTCACCCAGCGGGGCAGTCCTCTGGATCCCGAGCGTCGTCTGTCACGCAGCGAGGACAGTCCATCTGGATGGAATCCTGTTCCTGCACTGCTACTCTCGATGACTTTATATGAGGCGCGCCGCGCGAATAACGCCGTCCATGATAGGGACAGCACTCCGGACCTATCTACGGCGCAGCACCTCGTCTCAAATATTTCGCAGTGCAATGGCCAATGGCCTTCATGACATTGGCTGTCTGTAGCCTTTCCGATCACTGTGATCGATGAGAGCGTGAGCACGATGCGTGACGTGGCGACCCGGCCCGTCGCTCGGAGCGCGGGGCGCGTCGGCGTGCGCTAGACGGCTTCGGGTCTGCCTGCCTCGCGCCGGCCAGCTCTCGTCGCCGATAGGCGCTAGCGGCAGCGCGACGGCCGGCACTGGCTCGCGCCCGTCTCGCTCCACGTCCGCCACCGTCTCGGGCAGCCGGCGTCCGTTGGTCTCGGGCAGCATGAGCGCCACCAGCGCAGCCGTCACAGCGCACAGGCCGAACACGCAGCTGGGCACGGCCCAGTGCACCGGTCCCAGCAGGTCGACGATGTAGGGCGCCGACATGGAGCCCACGCGCGCGCACGTGGACGACGCACCGAAGCCAGCGTTGCGCAGCGTGGTGGGGAACAGCTCGGCCGTGTAGAGATAGGCGATGCCGAAAGCGGCTGAGGCAGAGAACTTGCCGCACATGCCCAGCACCAGTTTGGGCCACTCGAGTGCGACCGGCACGGCCATGATGCAGAGGATGGCGGCGCCGGTGAACAAATGGGTGCCGACCATGCTGAAGCGGCGGCCGATCCAGTTGATGAGCGGTACGGACAGCAGGCAGGCGGGCACCTCCACCAAGCCGGCCAGGAATATCGCCAGGTACGGGCTGCTGCTCAGCTTGGCCGAGTCAAACGACACGCCGTAGTAGATCATCGACACGATCAGCCAGTTGTAGAAGCAAGAGAGGCTGATGCGGCGCATGCGCGGCGTGCGGAGCAGGTGCGTCATCTCGCAGACGCCGGCCGCGCAGCTCCGCAGCGGCGATCGCGCCGCCAGCTCGGTGCCGGCCAGCTGCATTTCGGCGGCGCGGAACTGCTCCATTAGCTGCCGCAGCTGCGCGTCGCCGGGCAGCGGGCGTCGGTTCCGCCGCGCCGCGCCGCGTAGCACGGCCAGCGCCTCGTCCAGCCGTCCCTGCATGATGAGCCAGCGCGGCGACTCGGGCACCACCCACCAGAAAAGCATCATCAGCACGGCCGGCACCGAGATGGCCAGCTGCAGGTGGCGCCAGTTGCGCAGGGCGTACGCCACCCCCGGCAGCGCCATGACACCGAACGCGAACGGCACCTGGTAGACGAGGCCGATGAGCGCGCGCCAGCGCGGCCCCACCAGCTCCAGAAGGAGGATGAACATGCAGCCGAATACGCCGGCGCCGGCCATGGCTAAGACGAAGCGTAGCACGACGAACGCGGCGTACGACTGCGCGAAGGCGGCCGCCACGCCCGACACGAGGAAGGCCACGCCGCTGCCGCAGACGGCCAGCTTGCGGCCGAACTGGTCGCTGATGACGCCGGTGATGAGCGCGCCGCAGAAGATGCCGAACATGTAGGACGCCTGCACGGTGGAGAGCAGCCAGCGCCGTTCGCACACCAGGTCCCACTCGCTGACGATGGTTGGCGCCTGCTCGACGTCAGTGTATACCCAGCCGTCGCAGGGGAGCGTGCTGTTGGCGCCGGGCGCCACCAGTCTCCGGCAGCTTTCCAGCTTGCCGGAGGCATTATCGCGCGGCAGCCAGAGCTCCGGATTGGCGCCGGCCGGCAGCCAGCAGCGGTGCTCGGGCACGGCGCCGATGAAGATGCTGCTCATGTTGTGGGAGGCGCACAGCATGGCGCCCACCACCGACCAGAGAAAGATGACGAACTGCCAGCGGCCGGCGTCGCCGACCAGAGACAGAATCTGCTCGAACTTGACGGGTGCCTTCTGGTCCATGGTGACGCTTCGCCGTTGACAGCAGCGCGACGACTGGAACGGCGGCGCGGCGCCGGGTCGCAGCGGTGCTGACATCTCGTGGGAGATGTCGGCACTGCCGACCGACTTGTCACGCAAAGGTCCCGGGTATTCAAATGCTAAAGACTTAATGTGTGTGGGGGAGATGGAAGGAGCATTAACAACTGTGACCTGCATGCTCGTACCGTCATGGCTCCATTCCACTTGGTGATTACGGGATCCAGAATGATGCATGGGCGATTTGTGTTTGGCAATTTCCTATTTGACGTCCCCATTACGGTCGCTCTTGAAATCAGCGTGTTTTGGATGTTTGAACATTTCTTCCATGCTCATTCATAGGGTGACGTTCAAGCCTATATGAGCCAGACCAACAACCAGACCACCACCTCCCCGAGAGCCAGACTGCACCACCAGCCAGGGCTAATGCTACGCCACTGACCAGATCGCCGAACCACCAACCAGGCCACCAACCGGAACCGGACCACCACCTCGCCGCCAACTTCTCAGACGACCAGCTGGCGGAGCCGGCGAGTGCGGGCGGTTCCAGGAAGCGCCGGCTGGCGGTGGCGCTGGGGGCGGCGAGGCGGGCCGAGAGGCCACCGGCGGACGGCGGGCAGCTCTGGTGGGAGGGACGGATCGCGGCGGACGCCACCGTGCCGGTCGCTGGCCGCTGCTCGAGGAAAGGTGCAGCGTCCATCTCCGCTCGGACATAACCGCGCTTGGACAGTGCTCGGCAACAGGCCCGTTTCACGTCCTGCGGTCGCTTCGCTGCTTCGGATGCTGTCCGGCGGCCGCGCCCGTTGGCCTCCTTCCCGCTGGCGAAAGAAGGCCAGGAGGAACCTGTCACCGGCCTCTGCATGTGGAGACACTTCGGGATTCCAGGAAACGGATTTCACCCCAGATTCGTATGGTGGTCCGCTGGCGCTCGTGGCGGGTCCGATCCAGTCCAGGTCCGGTCCAGTCCAGGTCCGGTGCAGACCGCTGAACTGGCAGCCACGCGGAACTGCGCGCTCAGTACTTCATTTGACTCGTCCGGTATGCTCCCCTGGCTGGCACTGATGGTCGTCTCACCGGCGCTGTCAGAGCGTATAGCCGAAGACACGGGGTGTCGCTGTCTCCGTTTGCTTGGAGCTAGTCATGAGCTTGGCGCCGTTCCGGTAGAATCAAGCAATGACCCCTACTCGAAACGCGCTGGGTTGATTCCGAAGCCGACGCCAGGAAACGAAGCCCAGCTTGGGTTGGACTCTGAGCACCGCTCTCACACATGTGATGTGAGCTATGCTTGCAAAACCATTGACAAACAATGACAAACAATTGAAAAACCGTTGACAAAACCAATAGACAAGCATTTGACAAACCAATTGACCGAAAACAATTGACAAAACCAATTGACAAAACCAATTTGACAAAACCAATTTGACAAAACCAATTTGACAAAACCAATTTGACAAAACCAATTTGACAAAACCAATTTGACAAAACCAATTTGACAAAACCAATTTGACAAAACCAATTTCTGTGAGAAAAGCCTAACACGCGCTCGGATGAGAGTCAACGTGATCCATCATTGGCTTTTCCGGAATGGTTTTCGAACGGCGCGGCGTAGCCGCGCCAAGTTTTGCACAGCTGTAGGCAATTGAATAGCGGATCACTGTTGTATCAACAATTCAGATGTACCTTGTAAGGTAGCTGACCTATGGCAGGTCAAAATCAGCGAAGGCATTTTTTATGGAATCGTTTAATCTGATCCAACAATGGAGTGTTAGATGCAGGCATAATCTCTGAGATACTGTCTTGGTCAAAACAACAATTGCAACGACACAACAAACTACATTGGCTTAGGCTCAGGTAAGGTCAGACCGAGATCAAAACCAACCTACTTTATTACTCCAGAGCTCGCTATATGGGGTAGTTTCTAGTGCTCAATTCGAATTTATTGATAACAGAAACCACATTATACACTTTCCATGTACTTTTAAAGGTCAAAATAGGTTGCTGACCTAAAACGGCCCAGGTCAACATTTTGTTTTTGGAACATACTGCCTAGCGTAATCTTTGCCGCTTATCCAAATGCAAAACTCAAAGCAGTCTTGTATCATTTTGGTTGCCATAACCTTCAAAAGGTCAAACAAGGTCAGCGCCCTTAAATGAGCATGTGACATTTTACCATGGGTGTAGAAACAGGGGAGGCCAGGGGGCCATGCCCTCCACTTTTCAAGGTTGGGGGACCGGCAGTGTTAATTGCCCCCCCCCCCCCCCACACACACACACTTCAGATTTAGGTTGCGCTTAGCTGACTTTTGCGCTACATAAAACATGCATGTCGATTTGCCTCGTTCACCAGCCATCTTCCCCAAAATGTGTCAAAACAGCCACAGGCGGACACCGCGGGACCTATGGAGACTGCAACGCCGTGCGTCGGGACTGTTGTTGCTATGACTTGCGAGCGCGCATGTTAAAAACCATATTACACAGTTGTTGTTTTATCAGCAATCAATTCTGACAGAATCTTGAGCATTTTAAGACGAACATGGATCAGCCATGTTAATGCAAATCTGGGACCCGATTTCATCTGCAACCTACGTTCAGGGAATCCTCAATATCTCTGAAGAACACAGGAAAACATGAAATTGTAGTCTTTGCGACAATTTTTGGACCACCTGCGGCGATCAGACATGTTGTTGCCAAGACATGTTGTCTTGGTTTTTACCAAGATTTGCGAGTGCGCATGCACAAAACTACGCCACACAACTTGTACCACTGATCGATTCAAGTGTTTAAAGGTAATTGTTTTAGAAGTGTCATCATTTTCGTCCACCGGTGGGCCACGGCGAAAAGTTAATCGCTAGGCTAACGATCCGCAGACAATGGAGACTGCAACGCCTGGTGTCAAGTTTTTTGTTGTTAAGATCTGTGAGCGCGCATGTTCACAAACCACGCTACATAAGTTGTTTCATTGATCGGTTCTGACTGAATGTTAAACATTTCCAGACAAACATGGCTTGGCCGTGTTAATACACAGTGGTTACCGCTAGATCAACAGTGTATTAATAATCAAATTTTCATCTCCAAATTTCGACCAACCATCGCGATTTACAATCGGCCTTCGTGATATCCTTAATGTCTGTAGAACCCACATAAAACATTCAGATAAAGCTTCTGAATTCTATCGGTTTATACAGAGCCCACTAAACCGTTGTAAGTTGGGCGTGCCGCTGATTTATTCCATGCGGTCGTTCAACACCTGAGTTCTGCAATATATTGACTTTAAAATGCACACCGAATTGATCTCACGGTAGCTTCTGATTTTTAAACTGGTTGCAAGGTAAAAGTGACAATGAAAAGAAGAAAACCGTATCCCTGTTGATAAATAAGCTATATCCGGGTATTTTGGGGGTGGGGGTCACCATAAAAAGGGCATACCCTGCCTGCACACAAAAGCAGATAAAATCGTTTGCGTTGAATGGTGGGCAATTAAATGTCTGTTAGGCCAATTCATGTCTAAGGTAGGCTGCTTCCCGGGTGTTTTCTGAGGTGGTGTGGTGTAAATAAAGATAATTCGGAAAAAGATGTTATCGCAGGTGTCCGACAAGCTTTACACACCAATTAGTAGCAATGCTGATCCAGAAATATGCAATATAGCAGACGTACGATCAGTTCGCAGTCATGCGACAGACAGCCGGCCTGGGCAGTGGCCGCCGACGGCGAACGGGAGCAGGGCTCAGGTAAGGAGTATATGACAGAAGGACCTTCATTTGTTGGCTCGGTTAGTAACACGCGCCCGGGTGGCCGGCAGGACACTCTTCGCTCGGTTGGAGGTGGGGGTCAATTTGACCCCCCCATGAGATCTCGAGAACTATGAGAGCTAGGGACACCAAATTCACGGAGTACATTGATCTGTACGTGAACTCACTTAGATCAAAGTTTGATGTTCCTAGATAATGACCTTCGGGTCAAATAAGGTCAAACAAGGTCAAATTCCAAGCTGGTCTCTTAAGTTCCCCCAGAACCTAGATAACTGCTTCTAAGCAAAAGGTCACATGCTCACTTAAGGTCATTGACCTTGCTAGACCTTTAAAAGGTCATGGTGACCAAAATCATGCAAGACTGCTCTGTTAGGACTGTTCGGAAACTATTCTGGAAAAAACTTCAGGGGAGGTTAATTTGACCTCAACCCGATGGCGTGTTTAAGGAAGATATCAAGTTGTATGACTTTTGTCACATTGTTTTGGCGGTTTTGAGGTCCCGAATTTGTTTCCACCTAACATGCTGTGACAATCCTTATCCTTCGAAAAGAAGCCAGCGAAATGAAGGCGCATGAAAAATCTGTTGTACGGTGAACCATCGATTCACTTTCAAAATTCTCACCAGCCTATGTCCAGGCGGTATTTTGGCATCTCTACCCTGTAAAGGCAGATGCCTCCTCAATGACCCAAAATGCCTCCCCGCTCGTCGAATTTCGTTTCCCCAGGAAGGACAATGCTGAACTGGAGAACTAATCTTGGGAAGCTGGACAGATGTATTTGCCGAATGACATAGATGAGTCGAATAGGCAAGATTGGGCACCGGTGAGAAAGAGCTCTATATGCATATCTAGCAGAGTAGCCATGGCATTTGAATAAAGAGCGACTCCATCTCTACCCTCTCCGCCGGCCATCGGCATTGCTTTCCAGAAACATTTCTGAAGTACGCCCTTAGCTTGCCCCCCCCCCTTTGAAGCGTTCTTACGCCTACACCTTTCACTTAGAACAGTTACCTAGGTTCTAGGGGCCCTTTGGAGACCAACCTGGAATTCGGCCTTGTTTGACCTTATTTTACCCGGGGGCCACGACCTTGGAACCTCAAACTTTGATCTAAATGAGTTCACGTACAGATCAATGCACCCCATGAATTTGGTGTCTCTAGCTCTCTTAGTTCCTGAGATCTCTGAGGGGTTAAATTGACCCCCACTCCCACCCCCACCCGAGTGGAGGGTATCCAACTGGCCAACCGGGCGCGTGTTAAAACATGAGTCATCGCATTATGACACAAAGACCACAATATGAATGAATATCTCTCGTGATGAAAGGAAGCAAACACACAGTGTTTTATTCTCTGTAGGCATAACCGATCAGAACAGGGCGACTTGATGGTAACAGCAGCCCTGGCGAGCTGATTCATCGATGGCTGTTTGCTATATATCATATTTTTTCTTGAAGCACACCTATATACACCCACGGGGATCATTTCTATCATGCCTGACCGAAGATTTGTCTGGTTGCGTTGCCTACAAGTTTACTGCACAAGGTGTCAATAATTGATCTCCTGGATAGCCCATAATTTCAAGAGGTCCTGGTTTGAGATGCAATCTAGATTCCTTGCATGTAGGTAATTAAACGCACTTGAAATGCTGAATGACTAGGAATATCTGTAGCAATACGAATGGCTTAGTAGTTTCCAAAATCTCAAAGATGGGATATGGGAGACCAAGTCCAGCAGTCACGAGCTTCAAAACCGTTCCTATCTCGGACGAAT